TCGAAATGGAAGTAAGCTCAACAATTATGAAACAAGAGATCCATCAAAACCCAACTTTTCTTCAGCATCAATGTCTATGTGCAAAGCGGTCCTAAAGCAGAGGGATCAAAAGCAGGCCAATGTCAAGCTCAGATAATCAGAGTTTGATGAACCAAAAAGCCTTGAAAGATGCTTCATTAGTCCTTAAGCACCTGTAATAACCTTTCAGACTAGACTAATTAATTATTTTTCGTATGTAAGTAGAATTTCGAGACTACCAGTAAATCAGTAATATGAGATGTATTCGCTCTATTTCGTTTAAGATGATGACGGACTGTTAGCAGAATTTTCACACAATGATATGAGTAGAGCTGACGTTTTCCTTCATTTCACATAGCCTTGCTTTCCCAAAAGTTGTTCTCATCCAGGCACTAGTGGACTGCAGTTTCGACCTCGCCTCGGTCTGATCAACATTCCCAGCGGGAGTCAAACCGTGACAATGCAGAATGTGAGCTTGACACGTCAATCACTTGGCCACACTGTCACGAGTTCCCCTGGCAGGTCAGACCTTTTCTCATATCACATTCTTTGGTGGGATTGTCGATGAAGCAAACGTATATTTGCTATAACAATCGACTACTTTGAGTATTTTTCGTACTTACTCTATCTACATACGAAAAATAATTAGCGCAGTCGATTGTTATAGCAAATATACGTTTGCTTCATCGACAATCCCACCAAAGAATGTGATATGAGAAAAGGTCTGACCTTCCTTGAAAGTCACATCTGCTCTTTGACCGAGGGGCACTCGTGGCAGTGTGGCCGATTGGTTGACATGTAAAGCTCCCATTCTGCACTGTCACGGTTCGACTCCTGCTGGAGATGTTGATAAGACCTTTGCGGGGTCGAAACTGCAGTCTACTTCTGTCTGGATTAAAACAACTTTTGGGAGAGCAAGACTCTGTGAAATTGAATGGAAACGTCAGCTCTACTCATATCATTGTGGGAAAATTCTACTACCAGTCCATCACACCTTAAACGAGATAGGGTGAAAACATCTCATATAGACTCATTAAGTTTTAACAATTCAAGGAAAGGTATGACTAGGGCTACATAGTCTGGCACGTCTGGTTTTGTTGATTCGCCTAATCTAACATGTTGAGCGAGTGTGAGTGAAGTTAGAACCATCACTGAGTGAACATTTTAGATTACGCTCATCAACAACTCCAGACGAGGCTATGTGAAATTCAATGGAAACGTCAGCTCAACTCATATCATTGTGGGAAAATTATACTATCAGTCCTTTATCACCTTAGACGAAATAGGGTGAATACATCTCATTTATATTTATTTAAATATTCACTTTATACATTTAATATGAAAATTATTTATTTTAAATTACATTTTTTATAATTAATTTTTTTATTTTTTGCTTCAGTTGTTGAAAAAGATGAACGGTCTAAAGGCTTCGATTCTGGTATTCAGCTCGGAGCCGTCTCCGTTCGGCAGGCCTCACGTGAACATGGATCCCGAGGTGATCGGTCTTCTGCGTGAAATCGACTGTTTACACAAGCTGCAGTGTCCGATTCAGCCGATTGCCATCGAATTATGGCTCAAAGCAGACTATCTTAAGGATTATTATGAACAATTGAAGGTGAGCTCGTTGGCAGGACTGAACTAGCAATCACATGCTCTGATCTTGGTGCAGATCGGTTTGTAGCCGGCGTCGATAACCAAGTTTTTGTCAGCAGGGACTGGCTTCTGCTCCAGAATACTTTTTCTCATTCCACTAGCATGCCGTATATCGGAGGGGACCCAAAACCCTATGTTAACATGTTGAGTTCTCTTATGTTTCGAGTGAAATTACATGAAAATTACGAGAAGATATGAAGGTCGATCCCACCAGAAGACGAAGATGGATTCCCGAGACTTTCACTTTCGTTTTCGGTGAAAATGTACCGAGCTATAGTCCCTCACATGACAGTCATCATCAGAGCAGGGTTGCATTCTTATAACAACATTCTAGTTAACGAGATAAAATGCTCTCCGAATTATCACAAAATCCAGTATATACAGTCCAAACCCACTCATTTTGGTGAGGTATGAAGTAATTTGCTTATTCCAAGCCATATATTAATCTATAAGTTTGTGCATAACTGTTTGCGTGTGTGCTTATGTGCTTTCGTGTCTACGATGTGATAATATCTGTAAAATTATGGACGTTTTTACCGAACTCGAGGGATTGCATCGGGGACCCGTCGCTGTCTCCTGGTGGAATCCACTTTCAAATCACTTTAACACACAATTTTATAC